GGGGGGGGGGGGGGGGGGGGGGGGGGGGGGGGAGGTCAATACCGTAAAATTTCAATTTTTTAGATCCCGTGGTTCCTTAGACAATAATTTACCCGCTAAAATCTTCATGGGGTTGTACGTGTAACCCTCGAACAGGGGGAAGCTGAATTTAAATTTTCTGGGACGCACGTGGGCAGGGGACATGCCAACACAATTTTAGCCTTCCAACTTCCGCTGTTTCCGTGGTAATAATTTTACCGGTCGAAATTTTTACGGGGTCGTAAGTGTTACCCGCGGGTAAGGGAAGGGTGAATTTAAATCTTCGGGTCACACATGGGCGGGGAACATACCTCTAAATTTTCAGCTTTTTAGCTTTTGTGGTTCCCAATTTGAAAGTTGCGAAAAAATTGCTTCGGACACACACACACAGAGACAACCGCTGTTGCACAGCATAAAACACATAAAAAACTAGCAGCAGCGTTCCCATCATGAATGCACTTGTTAAACTGCAAAGTAAATTCTTTTTTTTTTTTTTTCTAATTGCTAACAGTGCCACTGCACTGCACGAATCTGTGCGAAACGCATAACTCTGGCGCCCGTCGTTATTTCATATTAACAGAGGTTAGCACCAGCTAGCAAAATAAGCAGTGCAAACACAACGTATTTTAATGAACTCTACAAAATGCTAGTTTGGGCGTCATTATACAAAATTGTTCGTTGGAATATAACAGAGACACAAAGTACCTTCATTGTAAGTGTCGTAATGCCCTGTGCGCATCACCTGATGAGTTTTTGAATCAATAACGACCAGATTCAGTCCGCGGCCGGCCGAATTCAAATTCCGATCGAACACACTATAAAAACTCTCGAAAGGGAGGAAAAATTCATGCGTAACTTTTAAAACAGGCAAACTTACAATCGCCCATTTACGCATAACTGAGGCGAGTCATCTTTGTCCTTTCCGGAATAAAAAGACATTGCCATTTCACCTAAAACTCGTTCTTCAGATAACCTTTTCTAATGAAAACAAAACTTTTCACACCACAATCACTTGTATAACGAGCTTCTTAAGCTGATCGATTTCAAAAAAAAGAAACCTTTCGGGCAACTTTCCGAACGACCACAGTTTGGTAGCTCTGATCCGAAATTCACATGCATTTTACTTCCTTTTACAGCTGACAACTGCGAAATTATACCCTCATCAATGTGATGCCTCTCGAACATCTTCACTGTTACGTCGGAGAGCTTTCCCACTGCAAATGCAGAAATTCATTTGAGCACTGCCAGCTACAGTGTAAATTTTCCTAAACTAAAACGATATACACCAATCAACAGCTGCTTGCGCTTCACTGAACTGTGCCATTGATGCAGCTGATAAACTTACTATGATTGCTGCAACCAAAGCTACATCAGTCGAGTTTCGTTTCTCGCCTTCCATCTTCATTTTCCGGGAACTGGGTGCTAAAAACGTGTCGAATTCTCTATGCCGCTTATATGATTGTTTTCAAGCCACCTAAATAAACGGGAGAAGCAGGAAGAGAAAGAAGTAGGAGAAGTAGGAAGAGGTACAGCAGTAGGTGTAAACATTTAACGAGACAAAAAACAAAAGAAACTCTCGTCAGAAGAAGCTAGAAGATGGCAGATGAAAATCAGTAACATACTTGGCGATGCCAAACATTTATGATAATATGCCTCAGCTGATACCCCCAGCATAGTAACCTGCAATATAAGCAATGCAAAACGTAAAAAAAAAAAATTAAAAAAAAAAAAAACAAGAGCAATGGCTCAAAAACAGTTAGCTTTTCTGCAGCAGTGCCGATGTGCATCACTTTCATCCTGAACTGCCAGTTCAAAAAACGTTACAAGAAGTTGAATTCCCTCACAACAGTATAAACTTATTCATTCAACACTATACAACACAAAATCACAAGAAAGTGATCAGTGTCCTTTAGCAATCAAATCCCGGCAAGATTTCCAGAAATTACAAAAGAAAAAAAAAATACACAGCTGCATAAAACTTAGTTAAATCTCTGTGTGCTGCTTTTCAAGATATTCAAAAATTGCTTAAATTATGAAGCCAAGATGAAGCATGCATAAATACAAGTATATATGTGTGTGTACATATACACATATATATGTGTACATGTACGGGCACATATAAGACCCCAATACTTCTTTATGCATAGCATCAGAAATGCATAAAGGGGAATTAGCATTAATCAATTTCATGCCAAAAAAATGACCAACCTTCTGGAAGGCTTGTGAGGTAGACAAACCGAGCTGACCAATGAACATGATGCTATACCCAGTTTTGTACTGTTCAAGAGCAAGACCGAAAAGCTGCAACAAGTGGCGTGCTTCCGCCGATAGCCTGCAAACAATTATGAATTTTAGCAAAATATCAGTACACTGTCGTCCGAGCCAACAAATTGGTCACACTGGTTCCTACACCTCTCTGACCAACTTCCATGCATTTAGTGCACAGGGCACTCGAGAACCTTAAACTGCCTTCAGCTTACAACATGAGCAACCAACGAAGGAAGAACTTATCGGAAACAGTGCCAGCAAGTGGCCACTGAAACTGAACTTGCGTCTGGGCAAAAAAAAAAGAACTTTAGTCTACTAATAAAATATAACAGTAGAAAAGGTCAAAAATTTCAAGCTCCAAGCAGAGCCAATAAATGCCGACGAGCACCAGGGTAGCTGATCCGATCATGCATTTTATGCAGTTCGGTCTAGCGAATGTATGTGTTTAAAAGGTCCACTGCTTTGCTTTTCGGCATGTGCAAAAATCGATCGTAATGTTTCATTCGGCCAAAATTTACATTTTTTCGCGAGTAAGATCTAGACATATGTGGATGCAGCGTTTAAATTTTTCGGATTTGCATGAGGACAAAAGAGCATCCCTTTTCGACTTGCATAATTCTACAGTTGGGAAATTTACGGTCAAAATTCATGTGTTCATGCATGAAATGTAGATATGTGTGGAAATGAGATAAAAATTTTGTGCCGCGCATAGGCACCATTGGAGGATCCGGTGAGGGCTGAGGGGCCCTCCTCCCTCCCCCTCAAGGGGATTAGGTAACAGTTGTTTTACTGTACAAGAGTCTGCTCGGTATCCCCTCTCCCCCCTCTCCCCCTTCCCCCTAAAAGATCGCTCTGGATCCGCCTATGACAGGCACATAATAATTTTCTTAAATCTGAGATTCCTAATTTTTTTTAATCACCGAGTTAGTAAATTCCCTGCTAAAATTTTCATGCGCCTGTACGTGAGACCTAAGACTCCCATGAGAGCTGCATTTGAAATTTTAAAGTTCCACATAGGTATTGATCGAATAGACTTGCAAAATTTCTGCTTCCTAACCTTTGTGACTCCCGAATTAGCAATTTTGCCCCGAAATTTTCACGTGGCCGTATGTGAGACCAAAATGTACATGAAAGCTGCCTCTGGATATTCGGAACTGTACACAGGGAAGGAACATTGTCGTAAAATTTTAGATTCCTAGCTTGCATGATTCAGGAGTTGAAAACCCCGAACAAAATGCACTCGGACAAACACATACGCAAATGGCACAGGTGTGATAATATACATTTTGTACAGCTGTTACACACAGCAGCAAATGCATAAAAATCATTTGTAAAACTAAACAGCGAACTTCGAAGAAATGTCGCCGTATGAGCATCCCAAGATGATATCATGCTTTTGGATCTGTGACAGCAATCTGATCACCGAATAGTCGCTATCCTGAACATTTAAGTAATAGATGCCACTGATAGTTTTTTTGACGCCTGTAACGTATGATATATATAAGAATCACCCAAAAAAAACACACTTAGGCAACTGAGCTCATACAAATAGGCTTAGGTACACGGCAAAGAACGAGGAAGTTCGTTTCGCACAAACTTTCGACGCAAATCCGTCTCATATAAGTAGTACCTCATTAGTGCAGTACTGGTATAACAACAGCACAATCAATTGCAAGTACCAGGGATGCAACGAAATCATGTCTAACTACGCCAAAAATTGCACCTCTGTTGTAAAAAGTTGCAGTTGCAAAAAAAAGCAACACCATCGTTGATTGGCCCAGCACAAGGCGATATACACAACTATTCGATTGGCTAACAACCAGTGAAAACACAGTGACGTGCGTGGAAAGTGAACAACTGCGCTAATCGTTTGTGACGCGATCACCCACCACAATCGCACAATATGATTAGCTGGCACTGTACTTCACTGGCTTTGTGAGCTCCTCAACAACATCCTAAGCCATCTTTTTGACCATTCCAGCACTGATGTAGAAATATTCTTCGTTTTCCGCTTAATTTTTTTCCAATTTTTTGATCAACTATAGTTCACAATTGTCCTCCCCCCTCCCCCAGCTATGCAACCGCCAACTTTTCAGCTGTTCTGAACAATGCTGCATCCTTTGATGCTCAGATTCTGCCAGCGACCATCGTGATCGATGCGTCTCCCGAAGGGATTACCAGCTCAACGACTTCGCAACAGAATTTTTAGTAAGGCAATAGCCACTTCGAAATATCCCCCGGCGTGTGTTGAGCATCACCACCTTGTCTCGAAAAAAATAAACAGCGAAGCGCACTAGGGTAGCCAGTGCGATCATGCGTTTTGCGCAGTTCCGTCTAGCGAATGTTTGCTTATTAAAAATACAATTGTTTTAAACTTTCGTAAAATAGCTGATGTTCTATCTGGCTCCTAAGGTGAGGAATCTCCCACTAAAAATTTCAAGTGCCGGTAAGTGAAAGCTGAATTTGAAAACATGGATGGGGAACATCCTTCCAAATTTCTACCTCCTAGTTTTTCGGCTTCCGAGCTAGCGACTCCCACATCACAATTCTCAAGTGATCTTACGTAAGGCCTCTCATATTTGGGAGCTAAATTTGAGTTTGTGAGATACCTGCAACAGCAGAAAATACCGTCATGAAATTTCAGCTTTCTAGCTCTCATGGTACCCGAGATAATTTTCCGCCAAAACTTTCACGGGGCAGTAAGCGATACCCAATCACACGGGAAAACTGAATTTAAATTTTCTGGGTTTCAAGTGGTCAAGAGGCATACCCATAAAATTTCAGCCTCCCAGCTTCCGAGGTTCCCGAGATAGTGATTTTGCCTGCCGCACGTGTTATCCGCAACTACGGGAAGGTTGAATTTAAGTTCTTTGGGTCGTACGTAGTCAGGGGACATACCCATAAAATTTAAGCTTCCTAGCTTCCGTGGTCCCCGAGATAATGATTTTATCCGCCAAAAATTTTACGGGGCCGTAAGTGTTATCCACAGGTACAGGATGAATTTGAGTTTTATGGGTCGTACGTGGCCAGGGGACATCCCATAAAATTTAAGATTCCTAGCTTTCGTGGTCCCCGAGATGATTTTACCCGCTAAAAATTTTACGGAGCCGTACGTGTTACCCGCGGGTACGGGAAGGCTGGATTTAAATCTGCCGCGTCACCCGTTGGCGGGGAACACTACACTAAAATTTAAGCCGCCTAGCTTTTGTGGTTCCCGAGTTGAAAGTGCGGGGCAAAATGTGGGATACACACGCACACACATACAGACAACCCCGTGACAATATGCGTTTTGTACTGCTGTTACACAGCACAAAACACATAAGACTACAACAAGATAAACTGCCGAATATAAGCAAGTGATACCTTTGTGTTTAAAAGATACGAAAATCCAGTCCACCAAGACCACAGAAGCTGCGTTGAAAAGATTCTCAGGGAATTAATTCAGCGAGAGGAGCACAGTTTCGTTCACACAGAGAAGGTAACCTCAGATGCGATGGGAGATGCAGGATGGTGCTCAAAAGCGAAAAATAAGAACAATTTGCTAAAACTACAAAGCTGCAAAGCCTTCAGTGGGTCAAAAGGAAGCGACTTCATGCGTACTGCTTCAGATTGTGCGCCAGTGCAAGTATGAATGTGATGGTAACCAATTCAGGGACTTACCATTCAGAACAGCAATGTTCAGGCCTTTCGCCAACTTCGAGGCATCGAACAATCTGAAGTACATAAAAATTTAAAATTTGGATTTGAACGAGAATGTTTGCACGAGCTCTGCCAGTTTCAAAACAGTAAAACCGAGTAACAGAAGAACTGTTCCAAAATTGTCATAGCGAAATAACTTCTGTGCTTGTAATCCAAAAAGGCACAATAAATCAGTGAATAAAAAATTATATGCCTCAAACTATCGACAAGCACCTTGCTTTTCCTGGATCAATCCGACGAAGGTCAGATGCGGTACACGTAGGGAGAAGGAGAAACAATAAGAGATGAAGTAGGTGCGATGTCTCTCAGTGATCGGACCACCGATTAGTGGCATGCAGAATATCTTTTAGCCAAGGGCAAAGAAGCAATGCACAGAATGTCTTGCTGATCATCAGTGAACGTCGCATATCATTTTGAGTGGTAATAGAAAGAAACGGAAATAGCTGGAAGCAAACAACAGACAATGGAACGGCGGCCTACGCCTTCATGGATCGTTAAGAAATTAAACTGCATAGCCGTTGTTCTGCATAAAAGCAACCTTCTTTTGTTCAGGCAGATAACAGGTGGCTGGGACAGACTCTCTGGCCGCAAATGCACTGCCTTCTCGTCCCATCCACAGTTTATCGTTTGCGCGGCGCACTCCACATCTGCAGTGTAGCAACAGTTAATAAAAATCACTACGCATAAGCAGTAGTTTGGGGAGCGCGTGATTTGCTCGCCTCCAGTTTACACTTCTGAGCTTCCAGACGTCCGCAAGAATTTGCACCTGCGCTCTTCACAAGCACTGCAAGTAATATTAACAAAGCAAGTGACTACAACGCTTCGCGTCACTTCGTAAAGCTTTCTCGAATCTGTGATGCGCAGCCAGAGATGATGAGATATCCAGCACGTCTGGTGTGAAGACTCAAGTGAGCTAACCAATTTTAAACGCCGCCTGCAAAATCACCTCTTAGTGCAGCAACTAAGCTAAACCGTTGCATCTTCCTTCCTTCTCCTCCTCCCCCTCCCCCTTCCGTGCCGTCCACCGAACACCACTTATTCGGAACAAAAAAGCCGCATGACTTTTCGCATGGTGATTCCTCTGGCACATCCTATCCTTTCCCGCCAGAGAAGAGGCCTTTCAACCGAGTGATGTCCTGCTGGAACATTGCATTTAACAGCCTGGAGGTCGAAAATCCTTTGAAAATATCGATGAATCGCCTCTCACTCACCCTACTAATAGTTGCAAAAGTCTTTTCTCGCTGCACAACTGGTACCATCAACGGCTGTTTTAAGTAGCAATACTACAGAGCGACAGCATGTGCAGTCAGTCACGATTAAGAACAGCTCGATCAAAACTGAATCGCTTACCCGATAGTTCAGCAGCGACAGCATCACTCCCAGTCCCCTCTTCGCTCGCATTTTTCCAAACTGCAACAAATCTGAAGACATTCAATAGGCACAGCTCACTACAATGGCCACAATTTGCCCTTTCCTGCCCGCCCCGTTCTGTAAATCAAAATGTTGAAGAACGGTCTCTTCCAGCATCTCGAAAACTGTCTACGCTCTTCGTCAGCGGCCACAAAATGAATGCCAAAAAGTTCCTTCCCCTCACCACTAGCACCGGTCGGACTGTGTCTGCGAACAGTACGAAGTGATCAGGCAGCTTTTTCAAGTAAGCGGAGAAAATTTTCGGCTGCGCTTACAACAATACAACCGTCCGTTCCCAGCGCAGCCGTACGCCGCTCCGTTCCTCACAACTTCTCAATTCATAATAAACAGCGGCGCGCATCAGGGCAGCCCATACAATCATACGTTTTGCGCAATTCCATACAGCGGACGTTTGCCTGTTAAGGATTTTCACTGTCTCACACTTTGGTCTTTGCAAAAATAGTCGTAATGTTGTGTGGTTCCTAAACTGCGAAATTTCCCACTAAGAATTTCACGTGCCGGTACGTGAAACGTGGGCATACGTGGAAGCAGAATTTGAAACCTCGAACGGTGGATATTATTCCATAATTTCAACCTTCTACTTTTCTGGTTCCCGGATGTCTTTCGCGCAAAAAATTTCACATGGGGCGTATGTAAGAACTCGGCATACCTGGCAGCTACGAGCATGTGAGGCTCCTGCATACTCAGGAAGCAACCCCTTGAAATTTTCAGCCTTCAAGCTCTTTTGGCTCCCAAATAATTTCTCCCGCCAAGACTTTCGAGGGGCCATACGTTAGGTCCAGACATACTTGAGTGGGCAGAATTTAAGTATTCTAGGTTCTGTGGTTTTCGAGATAATAGCTTTCTCCACCAAAACTTTCACGGCGCCATACTTGGTACGCAGGCGGACGAAAAGGCTGAAAGTGAACTTGTGGCATCACACCTGGGCGGGGGACATCCTCCTAAAACTTTCTAGCTCTTGTGGTTCCCGAGTTGAAAGCTGCAGGAAAATGCATCAGGCACACAAACACACACACAACCCCGCGACAATCAATATACGTTCTGGGCAGCTTCTGCACAGCAAAAAACACACAAAAAAGGGGCCAATGTCCACAGCTTAACGAAATCAACCCACGCCAAAACGCACCAGGCTCTCCGGTGCGATCATGCGTTTTTGCACTAAACTCGCAGATCGCTACTAGCAAGAATGATCCCTACACTGTAGCCTAATACTTGGGCTCTTATTGGCTGTGCTTTGGCCCCTTCCGGCATGCAGGAGGAAGGGCGTTAGTTGGGATGAAGGTAGTGCATCATAGGTGCATGATCACCGGTTTTTTGCATGAAGTCT